TGGCAGCCGTGCGCGGGGAGACATGGTCCGTGCGCGGGCACGCATGGAATGAAGGTTTACGAATTAGCCGCCATGCGGGAGGGGTGCGATCCGTGCGCGGGCACGCATGGGATGGAAGCTTCAGGATTAAACCGCCATGCGGGAGGGGGGGCACCATCCGTGTGCGGGCATCAATGGAATGAGAATTTAAGGATTAGCCGCCACGCCGGAAGGCGCGATCCGTGCGCGGGCACGCAGGGAATGAGCGTTTAGGAATTAGCTGCGCATAAGAAGCGCTGCAAGGGCGGCGCAAGGGCTTGTAGGAATTAGGCAAGTGGCACGTGCGCCATGGCTCTTGCACAAAAAGGAAGGGGGGCGGCGGAGGAGGTTGAGGAGGACAGGGGAAGAGGGGGCAAGGCATCGCTCCTCGGGGCCCAGCAACGGGGCCCCAATCCCAGGTGGGGGGGGGAGGGGTGGCGCGCGTCGCGACGCGAAATAAAGTGCTCGGAGCGGAGGGGGCACAGGGCGGAGGTCCCACTGGGGTGCTGGGGGCGCGAAGAGGAGGAGGGGGAGGTGGCGCGCGTCCGGGCGCGGAATAAAAAGGTCGGGGCGGAGGGGGCAGCGGGCGGGGCTTGGGGCAGAGGGCCGCCGGGCGGGGGTCCAACTGGGGCGCTGGGAGGGGAGGAGGCAGCGCGCGCCATTACGCGCGACGATCATTGGGCGCGCCCATGAACGAGTGCCCGTCGCCCACGGTCGGGCCATCGCGCTTTTTAGGGGCATGGCGAAGGCCCGAACACGACGCGCGAGGCGTCGCGCCGATGGCGCTGCATGCATGATATCCATAGGCCCGAAAGGTCTCACACCCTACGCTGCGCCCCCCCGCGCATCTAATTTCGCGCCCGAAACCCCGCGCGCGGCGCGCCCCCGACCCCGGCCCCCGAAAACCCCCATTGGACCCCCCTGCACACACACACCACCACCCTCCCCCCGCACACCATGCAGCGCCCAATCGACACTCAAGAAATTAGAAGCTCAATAGAACATTAGACTTAGCCGCGCTATCGCACACGCACGACCCCGCGCCCAACGCCCCGCCCCCGAGACCGTGCGCCCCCAGCTGTATGTCTTGAGTCTTGAGTTACCAGTTCCTCCTAGATTCGAAGCCCTAGACTGCGCGCCACTGGCCCCAACGCCCCGCGCCCCCAGCCAAAACCAACCGCGCGCCCCAGACTCTCCAGGTCCGTCGCTACGGCCTAGCCGCCACGTCCCTGCGCCCGACGCCCCAGACTCCGGACCCCCGACTCAACAACCCTAGCCCTTTCCCCCGCGCCCGCAAGTTCCTATCCTGCGCCCCCCCAGGCACCTTCCATTGCCTCCAGAACACGACGCCGTACCCCGCATACCCTAGAGACCACCCCCGCGCGCCGTTCGCCGAGCTCTCCCAGGCCCGAACCCCATCCATGCACCAACGCGCGAAGTGTCAACTTGGCCCCGCGGCCAAGCTGCGCCACTGCACACATGGCGCGGCGCTCTCGAATCCCCAGCCCAAAATGCCAGTGGTCATGTCAATAGTAAGATCAAAGCTGCCAAGGGTAAATGCCGCCAGTGGTCATGATGGCGATGCCCGCCGGAATCTGCTCGCCGAAGGCCGCGTCAACCTGGCCCTCGGCGCGGGAGGGCGGGAAGCTTGCGGGGGCGGGAGAAGGAGGCAGGAGGGGCGCTGAAGACTCTGGACGGGTTTGGAAAGAGTGGCAGCAACGCAGCCATCTGGCGGGGGAAGCACGCAGCGGCACTGGGGCATTGCGGGGGCGAGGGGGGGCAAAGAGAATAGTAATGAGCAGGGAACTAACATAGAAGAGGGGAGCAAGGCTTCTTAGCACACAACGCACGGCAACCGCAAGCAAGCAAGCAAGAGCAGCAAGGGGCCCTGGGGCCCCAGGACGGGTTGCGACGAAAGGTGGCACGAAAAACGGAGCAGCAGCGAAATTGCAATTAGCCTGGCGAAGAACGAAAAACCAAACCGTGTTCAGTTGTGAACACCGCAATTATGAATATCTTTTTTCGGTTGCGCTCCTTGTGGGGCCACGAGCCCTGTGATGGGTGCGCCAGCGTGGGCGTGGGGGGCGCATGCGGGCGGTGGCGCCGGGGCCTTCGGTGGGGTTCCTTATGGGGCCACGAAACGTGTGAGGGGCGTGCCGAATTGGGCGTGGGAGACGCATGCGGGCGGCGGCGCTGGGTTTCCCCTCCTCGATGCTGAGACCAGGTGGCCAAGCGAAAGGTATGAGTGGGATTCGGATAGGCAGCCAGCCTTCCTCCTCCTCCTGGCCCCACCTCCTCCTCCCCCCTCCTCCTCATCATCCGGATCCTCACCCTCGCTCTCCATGCCCTCCTCCACCATGGGTCAGAGAGCCTCAGGCCCATGAGGACCTCTGCCCCCCACTGGGGGTGGAGGAAGAGGATGGGGAAGGGGGCTCGCGAAGGGGGCCTGGGGAGGAGGGGGGTGGGAGGGGATATCGGATAGCAGCCTGAGTGCAGGGAGGATCGGCCCTCGTCGAAATAGTCCGCCCCGGGCAGGGGGCGGGCGGCGACGAACGACGATGAGTGACAGGGGGGGCTAAGACGATGGCAGCCAGTGTGAACGGAGAGGGGGGGAAGAGGATGAGAGGAGGGCGGAACGAGTGAGGGGGAGGGGAGTGGAACAGAACGGAACGGAAGACCCGAAGGGGATGGATGGATGGATGGCGCGCTCATCAAGGCGGTGACACTGGAAGCTAAAGAGATGAAATCCTCTAGGGCTCACCAAGGCGGTGACTGAAAATGGGGCCCGAGGGCGGAGGGGTGGCCTGGAGGGTGAAATCCTGGGAACGAGGATGTGGTTTTTGTTTTGGCGCGAAATTCACGCTGCGGCACATAAGCCTAAACAAAAAGGAGCTGAGACGGGAAGAGAGCCCTGAGATGCAGATCGCCGGCAGTCGTCGTCTTCGTTGTCCTTGCCGTTGTCGTCAGCCGCCGTAAAGAACTAGGCGTCTGGGGAAGGGGAACGCACAAAGGGAGTGCGATTGGGGGCGGCCCACGACGAGAGATCAGTTAAAAGAGAGCCCACACCTAGCGCGCGGCGCGCAGGATAGGCGAGCCTAGATTTTAGGGCTTAGACCGAGGAGCTAGGGCACAAAGGGAATGCGACTGGAGGCGGCCCACGACGAGGGGGCCAATTAAAAGCGAGCCCACACCTAGCGTGCGGCGCGCAGGAATCGGAAAGGCGAGCCTAGACCGCAGTTGCTATGGCGCGCTCAGCTGCCCTGACAGGACCTGGAGTCTTGGAGCCTAGACCGCAGCCAAAATGACGCGCTAAGCTGCTAGCTCGGAATCGCACTGTGCTGTCTGGCTGGCAGGGTATGCAGTATGCACTGTGCTGTCTGGCGGTGGCAAAGAAGAAGAGTCTGCCCTGTGCTGTGGTGCTGTCTGGTAGGGTCTGCACTGTGTCTGGTAGGGTCTGCGCTGTGCTGCGCTGTGCTGCACTGTCTGGTAGTGGCTGCCCTCGGAAGGAGGGACACGCCGTAGTTTGGGGAGTTGTGTTTGGAGGCTGTAGCTTGGGGTTGTGCTGAGGGGTCGTGCTCTCACATACCTCTTCCTCTTTCTCGTTATCCTCCTCGTCCTCCTCTTGCTTCTCCTACCCCGACAAAAAGATCGATCCAAACAATGCAATTCAATACCAATGCGTTCATCGGTTTTTGGCATAAACAGTTTCTCCAACTCGCTGTCAGGGCCAACAAATCCCGCAACTCGTTTCAGGACAGCAACGTTTCCTTCAACTTTCTGAAGCGCGAATGTGTGGGAACGCAACATTTTTCAACATACCGTACAACATTTCTTACAATTCATCCACACAACACCACAACTCTGGTATCAACACATGCCTTACCATTTTAAAGGGCTCACGGCAAGCAAACTTTAACAACCTAACCCTGGAGGCCGAAGTTGAGGTATTTGGGGCGCCCGCCCCAAGGGTACCCTGATTGGCAGGCCAATGAAAATTGCAAAGGACGGTCCGCAGAGGCAGAGGCAGGAAGGGACCCAAGGATACTCCAGATCTCGTAACAAAGGGAGGGGGGTCTCATTTCGGGGGGGGTCTCTTCCACGGGGGCCTGGGGGGGTCTGGGGACGGTCTGGGGACGATGTTTTGGAGGGTTCTCCCACGGGGGAGGTCTGAAATGGCTTGTCTTGGAGGGTCCAGACCCCCTCCCTTTTATTACGAAGTCTGGAGTACCCTAACAACAGGCGCGCGTCCTTATCATGGGCTTCAGTCGGGCATGTCCTCATACAGGCGCATTTGGGACGAAAAAAAATGCTTTCCAAAATAATCAAAAATTGTCCATAATTCGTGCCCGTATCATTTTTTGACTATTTTTGGATGTTCCTCCTGTAGAGGGACAGGTCCGACTTATCATGGGCGTTGACTGTATGGGGGCTCAGCGGGGGGAGCGTGGTGCGCGGCTTCGAGGCGGCAGCTCGCGCCTTCAGCGGCCTCACGGAGCGCTCTGGGCGACCAAGAAGCGATCTCGGCGAGGCGCAGCTGCAGGCTGGCATCCCGATGCGAGGAAATCTCCAGGAGCTGACGTCACCGCCTCGGACCGCGATCCTCGAACGTAGACTGCAGGGTGAACGTGGGATGGGGACTCATCCAGGGGTGCGTCGGGATGGGCACGTCCCAGCGGCAGTTTGGGCCTCTTGCGGTCGTGCGGGGCGATCCGGGAGCCGCCGGAGCACTGTCGGCGTGGCGCCGCTGCTGGAAGGCATGCCTTGGAGAGCAGGCTCCTGGGAAGCGACGAAACCACTTCGAACGGCAATCCTGAAGCCTCGGCCGTGGGATGAGACATCGAAGTGGGGGCTCATCCAGGGATGCGTCGCGATCGGGACTTGGACGCGGCAGCTCGGTGCTCAAACTTCCATACAGTACCTCATCTTCCCTCCTGCTCCCTCCTCTTCCCGCGTGGCGGCTGGCGAGAGACCGCGATGGCCGCCTGCAAGATCGAGTACAACGGGTTGATGCCAATGCCGCCGGCGACCAGCAGCAGGTGCCCCACCCCCGCGCTGTCTCTGGAGGCCGAAGAGAAAAGGGAGGAGGAGGAGGAGGAGGAGGAGGAGGAGGAGGAAGAGGAGGAGGAGGAGGGAGGAGGAGGAGAAGGAGGAGGAGGAGGAGGAGGAGGAGGGGGAGGAGGAGGAGGAGGAGGAGGAGGAGGAGGAGGAGGAGGAGGAGGAGGAGGCAGGAGTGCACGTACTCAAAGAGGAAGAGACGAGGGCAAGCGGGCAAGACGCGAGACGAAGGCAAATTGTCCGCACGCGTCAGTCCACTGGAGCCGGCCCACTGCCAGAGCGGTGCTTTTGCAGAGCTCAACACTTCAGCTATCGTGGCTGGGGTCGGCGTGGCGCGCTTCTATTTGTTGTGCAGATTGAAGGCCAGCGCTGTCCGCTGGATCGACCGCAGCAATGAGAGGTCGCTGTCAAAATCAGACGGATAGGCGGCGGCGGGCCCCAAGCCCCAATTTGTAAGAGTGTTGCGGCGTGAGCAGACTCGGGGGACCAGAGGAGGCTCAGGAGGCCAGGGCAGGAAAGGTAATGAGGGAACGAGTCGGGTGCCGCCTGGCACCCAAACACGCACTGCTTCTGCTGGAGGACGTGCATGCGATGGGTGGTCGTCCGACCCCCAGCAAGCGTCTTGTAAACCGGCCAGCGCCAGCTAGGGCGGACCTTGCGGAGTTCACTGGCAAGAGCAGACCAGCGCATCGCGAGCTCTGGGGATGATGGCGGCTGCTGGATGCCCCAGGCTGCGATGCGCTTCTCGAGTGACTGTAAACGGTGAAGAAAAAGTGGTGCGGTTTAGCGCGAGCGCGACCGCACGCTGCACCTTAGGGCGGCGCGGTGGCTCGGCAGCTGGGGCCTCGCGGAGCTCGCGGGCTCCCAGGAGGGGCAGAAATCGGCCAGGAGGGATCTCGTTGGAGCTATGGTGGCAGACGTTGTCTTCGTCCAAAACGGGACGACGACGCACCCACGGGGCTTGAGCGCGAGGAGCGCGAGCTCCACAGCAGCAAAAGGGCTCAGATGCGCGGCGCAGCGTGTCGAACGAGAACGCGAGGAGGCCAGCGTCGTCCGCGCACGCGCCGAGGTAGCCCTTCTCGTAGTCAGGAATGCCATCGACCGTCCCGACGAACGAGCGAGGTGGCGCACCAGCGGGTCCATCGCGATCGCCCATGCTGAGCCGCTCGCAGGGCAGCCCTGCGCCACGCCAGACTCGATCGAGAACATGAAGTGACGGACGCCGCGGATCTTGAGGAAGCTGTTCGGGGCGTGGTACAGCTGGCGGAAGGGACTGAGCAGTCCCTTGGGAACTCCGAATTGCTCCAGGGATGCAAAGAGCCAGACTCGTCCGAACGACGGGAACGCCGCTGCGAAGTCGAAGCTGGTGACGGGCTTGTGCAGCTCAGCGTCAGGGCGCACCCCAGCACAGCTCATCTCCGCGTCTAGGTTGACGATGTGCTTGGTGAGGTTGCGGCCGACGACGAAGCCCTGCTGTGCGTAATGCGTCCGCTCTGCCACAACGGACTTGATGGGGAAGTTGGCAGCGCCCGCGATGGCCTTAATATCCGTGTTCTTGAGGGAGGGCGGGCGAGTGTCCTCTGGCATGCGGTCCGTCGTGAGCTCGCCCGTGAAGTTGTCGCCCTTTGGGAGGAAGGCGAAGTCGGAGTCATTCAGATCGTGGATCAAATCAGCGTTGGAGCAGAGATGCCAAGCGAGGTCCTCGAGCAGGTCCAAGAACGCGCCGACGGCGAGCCAGGCGCGGTGCGGCAAGAGGTCGGGCCCAGGCGCAGACGGCGCAGCGCGCTGCAAGAAGCCGCGGATCTGCGCCTTGGTGGGCGCGCCAAGGTCGATGGTGGGAAAGAGCGGCATGTGCGTGGCGACGTGACGCTTGACCTTCGCTTCGTCGACCTGCTTGCGCTCGAAGACAGGGCGCCAGTGGTCGCGAAGTGCGTCCACCATAACACAACTCTCTCTGGCTACCGTCGGGGGGCCCGAAGGGTCGGTGGTTATGATGCCCTGGGGGACGAGGCGGCGCTTCCAGGGGGCCCAAAGAAAGGCTCTGCGCTGGGTCGCGCGGGTGATCTTTCCTAGCTTCTCATTCTCGACGGCCCCGGGCGAGCCCCACGGCGACTGGGCCGCTCTTTGTGCCAGAGAGCGTTGCCGAGCCTCGAGGTCGCTGCGCAGAGCGGAAGACTTCGTGGCGAACTCGGCGGCGTCCGAGAGCGCGATGACGCCGTCGTCCAGAACGAGGTACTTTGAGCCGAGCTCGGTGGTGGACTGCAAACGGCGTGCCGGATGGATGTCCCCATATCGCTCGCGAGATCGAGCGTGCCGTGATCACCTGGCTGTCGGAGTGGCTTGTCTTGCCGATCTCCCCAGCTGCATGGCTGACCCAGCAATCGCGAACAAGACGGGCAGCCTCAACCATGAGACGCTTGTGCGTGCGCAAGTGGTTCGCGATCGGCAGGTGGGTCGCGGCGGTGTGGTCGAGTAATCACCCGGGTGACTCCAACCTAAGACCCATGGAGGCCCAACCGGAAAGAAAAAAAAATGGGGCGCGCCGAAGAACCCAGGGGGTCCGGTTTCCGCGGAGGAAAGAAAAAAACCCTGGCGATGGGGTTCGAGCACGGGGGTTACCCCCCCCTCAAATTCCGGAAGAGGAATGAACTCCCAGCCGCGGGGGTGCCCGCGCGAGGGGTCCCACCCCCCCAAGCGCAACCAGAGGAAGAAAAGCGTGAGAGCCGAGACTGTAAGTGCAATGCAACAACACCTTAATCGCGGTTGCACTAGGGATTTGTATTAGTACGGGAACAACTGAATTACAGCCGGTGAGGTTTGGGTTCGGGTTCGGGCTTATATATTGGGAACCCAGTATATTGGAAACGCAATATATTGGAAACCAGTTGTACTCAAGTACGAGTTGTACGGTAGTCGGAGGGGTTCAGGGGTTCCAACGGCAACGCGCGCGGGGAAGAAGGAAAGAAATCCATGCGCCGCCAGGGGTCCCGGGTTTAACGGGTCGCCGCGAAGGTTGACCCCCCGCGGAAAGAAGAAAAGAACTCCGGCCGGGGGGTTGGGGGGTTGAGGGATGAGTCACGGGGGCGATGTCGAGTATCTGTTGGAGGTGCTTGGCGAACGAGGGGTCGTGGAAGATGCCTGGGGGGATAGCCTGCTCCACTGGCGGCGTCCTCGGCTTGATACCGATGGTGTAGGAGACGATGGCGCGGTCGCTGAGGAGGCGGTCCGGGAGGATGGCAGGGTCGCGGGCGATGCGGGTGACCGATGCGAGCGTGGCGTGCGCCGGCAGGCTGATGAAGACTCGGTCGATGGCTGACGCGGTTAAGTCGGACGCGTTGAAGCGCGTCGGTAGGTCGGACTCGATCTCCAGCACGCTGTCAAACAGGGCCTTCCAGAACGGCTGCTGCTGCGGAGCGCCCTTGTCCAGCGCGAGGCGGGCGCGCTGTGGCTGCGGCTGGGAGAAGCTGTTCGGCGGGCGGCCAGCAGCGCTGAAGTCGCCCATGGCAAGGAAGGTGCGGTGCTGGTAGTTGGCCTCCGCCCACGTACGGTGTTGGTGCCAGGCACGTCGAATGCGATCATGACCGCTGGCGTCGATCTCGTGATTATGAACGTTCATGATGACGATGGTGTTGCGGGTGACTGCGTCAGCGACGGCGACGATCTGGACGCGGCCTTTGACGAGCTCCTCGTGGGCGAAGATCGGGAGCTGGGGCGGCTGCAGCTGCTCCAGCTGTGCGTGCGTGAGCCACGGGACGAGGGTGGCCACGCCGCCCGTGCCCGCGCGCGCGCCATCGGTGGACTTGTCGACGAACTGCGGGGAGAAGAGCTTGTACGGGTAAGGGTGGGCGGCGGCCCACGTGCGGAGAAGCTTCTCCGAGCCGTGGACCCCCTGCTGGACAATGACAGCGCGCTGGCGCATGCGCTGCTGCAGAGCAGCTCGTTTGCGACGGCGCTTCGAGCGCTGGTGGCACATCAGCGCGCGGGCGTTCCAGGTGATGAACGAGCAAGGCATGTTGTCCTCGACTGGCATCCACGGTGCCCAGGGGCGGCTAAACCCGCCACGTGGCCTCAGCCGCGTCCGCGAAGAGCGCCTGGAACGAAGTGAGGACGGCGCCGCGATCGACGACGCGGAAGTGAGCGAGCTCGAAGGCCTTCTCGTTCCACTCCAAGATGGCGGGGTCGGCTTGGCCCTTGGCGTCCAGGCGCGCGACGGGCATGGCGCTGCAGTGAATCTCGCCATTGGTGCGATATGTTTTCCTAGCCTTTTGCGGATGGCGATGCTGAAAATGGAGGAATTTCTTGCACTGGATCTCGGTGCGGATCTGCCTGGGGGCTTTGTCAAGGTTGAGGTAGATGTCAGTAGGCACGCCCGTGATGTCCGCTGATGTGAATCGCTCCCACTTTCCTGCAGCGTCGCGAAGGGCTCGAGGGAGAGCAAGAGCCCGGGGACCTGCGAGGGCGCGATCTCCTTTGACTTATATTTCTCCGACCAGCATGCCCGATTCGGGAAACTCAGAATCCCAAAACGTTGGCATACCTTGGGGGCGCACATTTTGCTTCCGCCGCCTTCCGCGGGCCTGCCGCCGAGGAAGAGATGACAGCTCCTTCGTCCCTCGAAGGCGAAGCCGTTCCCGGAACGCCTTCTATGCTAATCTCGGCCGCTTCGATCGCCGCCTTCGCCGCCTCGACCGCTGAAGCCGCGTTGTCCACCCTGGTGCCCAGCCACGTGCTCAGCTCGTGCATCAGAGTGTCACCTCCCTCCCCTGCTCCTGGTGTAGCGTGTCGGGTCGTTGTCCACCTTGGTGTCCAGCCACGTGCTCAGCTCGTTTAGCAGGATGTCATCTCCTTCCAATGCACCTGGTGTAGCGTGTCGGGTACCTCCTCCGCAAAGAACGCCGGCGTTACAAGGTCTTCAAAAGTTCACCAGTGTTGAGCTGGGTGGAGGGGTCTCCCGCGCCACAGGTGCAATGAGACTGGTTGTAAAAAACAATGTTGAAAATAAC